ACACAGGGCCTACTCAACTCAAGCAGTCCAAGCAGCTGCTGGGATTGAGTACCTGCAGGCGGACTCCCTTCCTTTCTGCACTCTGCTTCCCTTTCTGCTCACAGGCCCACCCTGGGTTAGGATTCAAGTCAGTGCTTCACAGTGCAGGCTGATCCCTCCCATTCCTGGGCACAGTCTGCTGGGTGAACCAAAAGCTGTGAGATCCAGTCCTGACTTAGCCACCTGTGAGGTACAGCCTGTCACCTCTTCCAAAGTATGTTAGTCTGATCACTGCAATGGGGTGACTGTCCTGCCTGCTATGGGGGTGGCCCCACAGGCCGAGTGGTCTGACCCAGGAAGCAGCGCCTAGCATCCCCAGAGAGAGCACTGGGCCAGCCCCGCAGGATCTGCAGGCCAGTCCTATCAGGTCCAGTCTGCTGTGCGGAGCCTTGCGCACTGTGGCCTTGCTGGCTGCTGCTCAGGGTGCTGCCCCTGCTGCTGTATGGAGGTTTCTACTGTAGGCAGCGGCCAGCCGGCAAGCCTCAGCAAACACATTTAAATCTGAAGTGACAGATAAAGCGATTTACGGCGACAGTTTAGCATCAGATCACTTCCCACCAGGCAGTCGGCGTCCCCGCGGCCCTCCGCGCACTAGTCCATCAAGGCGGTCTCTAAATCACTGACTGCAGCTGTGGCCAGGGACAGGCGGGAGCAGGGCGGGGCTGCCTGCCTGGTGGCCAGGCTGTCCCTCTGCCCCCAGGCAGCTGGACGGGATGGAGCTTGCAAGGAGCCAGCCCGCCGATGTTCACAAATCAAAGCTCCAGACTTAAGGAAGCAGAGCACCACTTCATGCCTTATTTTAAACAAATAAGCGGCTTAGAAGTCTCCCTGTGAGGCCAGTTTGTCTCAGTGAAACATGGTTTCCCACCATTCTCCTCGGCCAGGAGTGCGCACCCTGGCCCCTCAAAGCCCTCCTGGACCCCCCTTGCCTCCTGCCACCTCCTTGCAGATTTAATTGGTCCCCAGGGCATCACGCGGTGCTTTATTCAGACCTTCCTTCCAGCACTCTGTCACATTATATTCTGCTTAGCTACTCTCACTCCTCAGTTCCCCAGTATTAATGTACTAGGCTCTTTGTACACTGCTGGGGCTGGCACAAGAGGGCCTAAGGGCATCACCACCCGCATACTTGCCCTGGGGCGTGGCTAACACGGAAGCTCTTTTTCATATGAAGACTCAGAGCTCCAAGTCTCCAGCAGGAGCAGAATGGAAACTCCAGCCCGTCCTGGCCTCTGTGCCACACACTAGCCCGCAGTGACCCAGGGCAAGGATCCCAAATGAGCTTGCACAAAGCATTTCATTCATCTCTGTGCTGTCCTGTTGCGTCCTCAAGGTCACAGCTGGGCAACTGGACCCTGGAGCTGGCCAAGAATGGGAGTCTTTCTTTTTGCCCAGACACTCCTTGTCTGGGATAACGGGTGCAACAGGCATAGGGCTGGTCAGCAAGAATCCCAAAGACTCAGCAGAAAGAAAAAAAGTGAAGACACTCTAGAAGATACTGCACCCTGCCAGGTGGAGACTCCCAGACCTGAGGTCCCCCCAGGTGTGGTCCTGAAAGCTATAGGCCAGGCTGGAGTGCCATGCAGTGTCCCTGAGAATCCCCTACTTCTACAGAATTAAGAGGGTCATGGGCCCCCCTGGCTTATCTCACCAGCATGGCAGCCCCATTTAATTAAGACAGATGTGGCACGCCCTCGTGGGCAACAGCCGTGGCCAGCACAGATGGTCAGACCCTGAGCCTCTCCTGGGCACTGATTAGTGAGTGACCTTGGCCAGGGCCCATGAAATGGGGCCGAGGTGTGCCTGGTGGGGGGCTCAGGGCTTGTCCTCCTCCTGTGACCTCAAGCCCTGCTACTCACCCTTATGTTCTGTGCCCAGCTGCCCACCTCAGCCTGCCATGTACCATACAATACACATCCTATCACACAAACATACACATCTAATCCTGGCACACACAGCTACCACCCTATCCTATCACAAACTCCAGCAAAATCAGTAAAAGCCTGTCCCCAACTTCAAGTGACAGGTAGGCAGGGTGATTCCAAAGTCCTGAGGGGAAGAGAAGGAGTAGGGTGCAGGTGGGGAGATGACTGAACCCTCCCCCCAGGAGGCTGGTCCTATGGAGGAGCAGGGAGCCCAATGCCCCAGCCCACATCTTCTTGGGGTAGAGTAGACTGGGGCATTGGTCTCCCTGCTCCTAGTCCATCAAGGTGGTCTCTAAATCACTGACTGCAGCTGTGGCCAGGGACAGCCAGGATCGGGGTGGGGCTGCTGCTAGGGGTCCCAAACCTCTTCCCTCACAGGTCCTCCCCAGCCCCCGTATATTCCTCCCTCCAGTGTCCCTGCAGCTGGAGTGAGGCCCAGCTGGTGACATGCCTCCCCATCTGGCAGCAGGGACAAAAGCAGACACCTCCCCCCCACCCAGCAAATCCAGAAGTTCTGGCTGGACCCAAGCCCCCAGTTATATCCAGCCCTCACCCACTCTCCATAGGCAGCCAACAGCCGTGGGGCCAACACTGCCCCTGGCTTCAAAAATAAAAATTTAAAAATTCCCACCCATGGATAATTGCTCTCTCCTTTTGCCTATTGTGGTGGCTCTGTGGTCGGTGCTGAGAAGCAATTATTCACGGCTAATGATTATAATCAAGTCAAATAGAATTTAATGGACACGTATTCTCTTCCTGCTTGAAACTTTACATATGAATTAAGCACATATGGGTTTCACGAGGCACAGACGCAGATTTATGCAGCCCTGAGAAGCCACGCGTTGCCGTGGACTTTTATTCTGCTAATAAACAGGCTGATTTACGGCTCTGATGGAAGTGCAATCTCTGCTGCCCCCTGGTGGGCAGTGGGCCAGGGTGGAACCAGTGCTGGGGACTGGAGATATGTGAAGCAAGGTCCCCTGCCAGGATGCCCAAAGTCTGGCCAGCACCAACATGGCCTCAGTCCTAGGCCCAGGCTCAGTGTGGGAACCCTGTGTCCAGGCCCTTACCAGCCATTTTCTGAGGCTCCTGGTAAGTCCTGGGTCCTTAGGCTGACACTAGGAAAGGAACAGCTCCCAGGAAAACATGCCAGGAGGTGCTGAGCAAACCGAGGCAAGCAAAGGGAGGAGAACGCTGGCTATGGGCATCTTCGGGCAGGGTCAACACTCAGGAGGACACTGAAGGCACGGATTCCAGCCCCAAACCCACAGCAGTAATCAACACCCCTACAAACTGACAGTGATCGTCTACCAACTCCCCAGTGTAGAGGAGGAAACCGAGGCCAGCCAGGTACAGAAAGAGAAGCAGAGGCCCCAGAGAAGCTATAAACACCGTCTTCTTCCCCAGCCCTAGCGCGCCTGATGCAGCCAGCACTACAGTGCTTCTCAGTGTGAGGCGCTGATAGAGCCACCACTCTGACCTGTCGTCCCTGAGCACTTAGGAGGAGCCACTAATCATGCCACAGCCTTGGAGCCCCCATCTTGCTCCATCTTCCGCCTGTGATAGTGCCTTGGTACCCATCTCCCCAACACAGCCCATGCCACTGAGCTCTGCAGCTCCCAGCAAGGACTCAGGCCTTGCTGCCACCGACCTGTGCCAGTGGCCTGGGGACCACCTAGCAGAACCACCAGGAAAACCCCAAAGGTGATCCCCTGCTCCTCCCTGACCACCACCCTCAGTGGGAACTCCTATCTTCAGATGACTTGTTCCCTGTGTACCTGTGACAGGAAACATGGGGAAAGGGCACATCCTGTGTGACGACAGTTCTGCCAATACCAGTGCAGGCAGATATGCAGAGTAATGCCCCTGCCAGAGACAACATCCAGACCACAAGCAGGAGAACCAGGACACGGCGAGTGGCCACCTTTGCCCACATCCCGCAAGCCTAGTCCTTAGGGAGACCAAGGGGTCACTGACAGCATCGCACCACTGTGTCCCAGAGACACCACCAAGGAACAGTTCCCTTGTCAACAAGGGGTCACACATGACCACTGCAAACCCTATGTTGAGAGACAGAAGGAAATTCCAGAAGCTCTTGGTGGTACCCTGGCCTGCAAAGGTGGAGAGAAGCAGGTATGGCAGGGTTTTCCCTGAGTTGAAGCCCAAGATAAGAGGGTCTGCCATGATGGGGAAGGGTCCCAAGAAAGAGGGAGCCCTCCTCAGATGCCAGATAGAGGGGCACTGGAACAAGCAAGCCAGCTCACCCAGATCTCGCTGCACTTGATCTCAGTTTACGAGCACCTGCATGCCCACCAGACCTGACCAGCCCTTAACATCCCACTGCTGAGCACTCCAGAAATGTCCCCCAGGGACTATGGACCACAGCTGGCCAACTGCCGCCGCCCAAACGGAGCAGCAGCAGCTTCTCTCCCTCCCCCAAAGAAGCAGCCGCCTCCAACTCTGCACTCATCACAATAAACTGCCAAGCCAGCAAGAGGCAGACCAATGCACAGGAAGCCGAGCATCTCCTGTTTCTAGCGCTGCTGGAGAGCTGCCAGGGGCAGCGGGTGTGTGTGTGTGTGTGTGTGTGTGTGTGTGTGTGTGTGTGTGTGTGTGTGTCTGCACCAATCCTTCCCTCTGCATGCCCCCTCACCTGCCCAGGTGCAGAGGCTGTTATAGGAAAGAAAGTGGTCACAGCACCCCCAAGTGGGAACCCCAGGGTCTGCCCTCCACCTTCCTGGCAGAGCAGCCCGGCCCACTTCCAGCCACGCTCTCTCCCTTCTCTCACCGCTAATGGCTCTCAGAGCTGTGAGGCAGCTCAGCTGAGCCAGGCGCCCCGACACTGGGTCAGGACTTCGAGGGAAGCAGAGCCTGAGAGGCCGACATACTGGGCTCCTGTGGCGCCAGCAGGCCATCCTCGCCTGACAGCCTGAGCCTCTCTGGAGCCAGGTGGCGCCCACCCACGCCTGGCATAGCAGACCAGAGCCAAGCCAATGAGGTGGCCACGCGAGTCTCTGACCTGGGCCAGCAACTCACCGGCATTGACAATGGCATCCACCTCCAACTTGGTGATATCGCCGCGGAACAGTGAGATCTTCTCATTCAGGTGCTTATCTTTCTTGTACTTGGGGTTCTCCACCTTCACAGACACCCCTGGAATAGACAGGGGCTGGGAGTCACAGGGCAGCCTCTGCTGCAGAGGAACCCAGAGTCAGGGCCTACTTTGACATAGCTGGCACACTGAGGAAAGACCTGCTGTGTGACAATGAGGCCACCCCCACTGCTACTGGCAGATGCAGTGTAGGGTCATCCATCCCCACTTTACAGATGTGAAAACGGAGGCTGGGGTGGGGTAAGTGACTTGCCTAGGTTACTGGTTACCAGGCCTGTCTTTGTAGCATTTCTCCCTGCCCCCTGCAACTGAAAAGCCTAGCTCCAGACAAACCAGTCATCACAGGCAGGTGACTTTTGTGGCCTCTTTTCTAAGAGGTGTCTTGGTAATAAAAACTGCACTGGCTTCAGGCCACGTGAATAATTAAGTGAGGCAGCCCCTGCAGAGGGACCCCACACATGAAGCACTGGGGTCTTCCTAGCTGCACAACTCCCTCAAGCCAGGGGTCTAAAGGGGCTGCCCACTGAAGAGCGATCCAGGGCCTGGCAGGAGCAGGGCCTACCTTTCACCATCTCTTTCCACGTCGGGATCTTCTTCAGCCTGATGAAGTCCTGGCAGAAGTAATGTTCCTCCCTCTGCTTGTCACTCAGGCCCTTCAAAAAGGCTGCAGGGCAGGGTAGGGAGGCAAGAGAGAGAGTCAGAGTGGATAGAGAGGGCACAGTGCAGCCCCACCTGCCCCCAGGACTCCCCTCCCCACGGGATCCTTGCCTACCCCAGGGATGGAACCCAGCCCCCATCTGTCCTCCCACCATCCTGTGAGGAGGGGATGCAGAGGGAAAGGGGCATACCACCGCCATCAGGGGCTAAGCAGCTGCCAGAACAGCTTGCTCTGTGCTCTTTGTTTAGAAGGGAAACTGAGGCTAGGGGTAGTGGAGGGACTGCTCAGGCACTACAGACTCTGGCTCAGAAATAAACCTGGCCCCTTCACAGCTGTGCCCCCATCTCTCTAGGTCCCTAGTTTCTTCATCAATAGAAGAAAGATTAAGACTCCTGTAGCAGAATAATCTCAGGCTCATGCATGCTGAGCCAGGCAGCTGGGTGGCATTCAGCTACATTATCAACCAGTCACATCATCAACATGATCTGGGGACAGGACAACTAATTGCCTTCAAAGAACTACACACTGAGTGTGGTGGCACACTTGTAATCCCAGCACTCTAGAAGGCTGAGGCAGGAGGATCTCAAATTCCAACTTAATCTGGGCAATTTAGTGATTTAGGGAGATTGTCTCAAAAGAAAAACTTTTTAAGGGCCAGGGAGACAGCTCAGTGGGACAAGCACTGCCTGGCATGCACAAGGTCCTGAGTTTAATCCTTAGTACAAAAAATAAATAAATAAAACTTTAAAAGGAGATGGGGATACAGTTCAGTGGGAAATTAAACTGGGTTCATTGTACTTGGTTTCTACGCCTGGTCCAGCAGAAATACAAATCGAGAAGACAAAACATGAAACTACAGAAACAAGCAGATCTGGTGCCTGGTGTCAACATCCTTAACTGAGGTCTCCAGCCTGGAAAGGCCACCCTTTATGAATGCGGAGGAAGCAGGGGCTCAGGGAGGCTGGGAGGCTGCCCTTGGTCACAGAGCTGGTGAGTGTGGCCAGGGCCACCTGCTCAGGGACCCTGGGTCTGGTGGGAGGCTTCCTGGCAGCAGCGACCGGCCTCTCCCTTCCCTTTGTCCACAGCAGGACAGAAACCCCAACCCCCAACCCCCCACTTCTCCACCTGGCAGGCTGGCGGTTTGCGGGCGCCCCCTACCGGCCCATGGCCGCCTGCACACTCAAACTGCCGCTGGGGCAACCCCAGGACCGAGTATGCGCAGCAAAAGCCCCACCTTATCAAGGGACTTGAAAGCATCGCAAAACGGGTAAAAGAGGGAGTGTAATCAAAGGCGAGCAGAAGGGCCACATCCTGGAAGGCCACAGAACCACTAACTGCCTAACTGCAAATCAAGCCTGGACCGTGCAGCTTGTTAGCCACTTCTCCCCCTCCCCCTCCACTCCATTTATTGGGCATCTACAACATGTGGGTCCTACACTCTGGTCTCCTTGTGTATGGTGCAAACAAGGTCCTGGCCCTTGGGAATCTAAAGCCCAATTTAAACTGGATGTATGCCTATAATCCCCTCACTCAGGAGGCTGAGGCAAGAGGGTCACCAAAAATTAAAGGCCAATCTGTGTTACAAAGTGAATTCAAGGCCAGCCTGGACTACATAAAGGCTCTTTCTCAAAAAAAAAAAAAAAAAAAAAAAAAGACAAATAAAATCTGGCCAGGGACACTGAGCCTGATCCAAGTGTCACACAGTCTAGCTACTCAAATGCTGAGGCAGGCTGAGAAAGACACATTTCGGGACCTGCGAGATAACTCAGCAGAAAAGCACCTGTTAGGCAAGCACTTGCAGGGACTGCAGGCTCCATCCTGTGCGGCGCCAGCCCCGCCCCAGTCCTGGTGTAGTGGCACACACCTGTAATCCGAGCACTGGGGAGGCTGAAAACAGGAGTCTGAGCTGCATACTGAGACTCTGCAACAATCAAATACATTTTCTTTTTTTTTTAATTTTATTTATTTATTTGTGTGTGTGTGTGGCCAGCTCAGCCCACCAGGGGGCAGGGCTGTCTGGCATATGGTGCTGGAGGATTGAACTGTGGTCCCTGTGCTTTGCTAAACTTGTTCTAAATAGGTGCTTTAGACCACTGAGCCATCTCACCAGCCCAATAAGCAAGGGATGCTGTAATTCCCCCCCCCCACCCGGAACTGGGGATTGAACTCAGGCCCTTGTGTTTGCCAGGCAAGCGCTTATTCTCCTGAGCCATCTCCCCAGCCCCTGAGCCATCTCCCCGGCCCCTACATTTTCAAAAAGAGAGACACATTTGGAGGCTGGGACAGGAAGTAAATGGAACCCTGGGGGGCTATGGGGAGACGTGGGAGAGGAAAGGGAGGTAGGCAGAGCCAGAAGGATGCTCCCAGCTGAAAGGACGTTAAGAAGTGGATGAGGGGATGACCCAAGCGAAGCTCAAAGGCCTGTAAAGGATCCATTTTGTCCCAGCGGCACCATAATTGACATCCAAAGTTCTGTCACCACCAGGTACTAGTTAAAGCCACCCCCTAAGTGTACCACCTCCATTTTGTCTAAGGAGCCAAGGGCACTGCTACTGACCTCGGTCTCAGTGTCCCTCACTGCTCACAGCCCTGTGTCCTCCCTGCCTCCGCCCCCAGGCACACCAAGCAGGGCACACCAAGCCGGAATAAGCCAGGCCGTGGGGGGAGGAGGCTGCTAGGATTTCAAAGACACTAAAGAGCCCTCCAAGCCTCCCTGTGAGACACAGAGGCAGTGGCACACAATTGTAGTTTTGCCAAGTAGGAGGCTGGGGCAGGAGGACTGCCTGAATCCAGAAATTCGAGGTCAGCTTGGGCAATTAGCCAGTAAGGCCAGTTCTCAAAACAGCACACATCTGCAAACCCAGCATTTGGGAGACTGAGGCAGGAGGATCATAGTGAGTTCAAGGTCAGCCTGAGCTACATAGAGACCCTGTCTCAAAAAAACAACAAACCCTCCCTCTAATAAAACAAAGAAACAATGATATGGAAAGCTACCTTCTACATCTGTCCTAAATAATTAGTGGTCTGGGCCTAGTATACCTAAGCCCCAGGCTGGATTGCTGGTCAGAAGCACCTCTGAGAGCAAAGATCACACTGTTGAGGACAGGACAGGCTAGATCAGTTAATAAATATTTATCAAGCATCCACCCTGCTCCTAGTCTGGGGGTGAAAGGCAGGTGAGCTCCAGGGAGGGGAGGCCAGGACTGTACCCAGGATGAGGTAACCCCCACTGCTCTGGTGGTCCCCAGGAGCTCCACCTCACTGGAGGAGACCCCCACCTCCTTGCAGAATCTTCCCCCTAGTTCTTGCTCTTCTGCTGGAGGCTGCAGATGCTGCTCTGGACATGGGCTCCTTCCCTCCCCACCGCTTCTCCAGCTGCACTGAGGAACGAGGAAGAATCTGCAGCCATCACATGCTGCCACCTTCCCCAGGAAGCAGGAATGGCCACCATCTGCCATGCCTGGTCCCCTCCCTCCAGTCACCAGGCATGAAAGGTCTTTGCCCTTGTCCTTCTCCCTGTCCCAGCTGCCCTGGTCCTCAAACACATGACCCTCACCCCATGCTCCCCGGCGGTCTGCCCGCCTCCTCCATGTCCTCCCTCCCAGGCTCCCCTCAGCCCCTCCTCCATCAAGGTCAAGGTCATGGTCAATACATGCTGCAGCCTCCCTTGTGACTGGGAGTCTCCAGCCACCTAGTCTCCTCTTTCAATCCATGCCCTCCCTAGAGCATGGACCCCAGGATTCAAACCTGCTTTATGAACCTCCAGCCCCTCCTCTCTTCTGAGCCACTCTCCAGAGCCCCTGCCCTCACTCCTCACAGCCCACAGTTGGCAAATGGAATTTTGACTTCTTTCTCCAAAACATGGTGTTCTCACTTGTCCCCTCTTCTCTTTCTTTTCCCAGGCCCCAAGGCATGGGTCCCTTCATTTCCTTCCCGTATCCCACATCCCACCCAGCTGCAAGCCTTGAGATTCATCCTCACCACTCTCCAGAAGCCATGCTCAGCACCAAAATGTCCTGATCACTCACTGGACTCCTACGAAAGCCCCCAGTTCCAAGCTAACCCGAAGTCCCCCCACCTCTTTTCCCACTGTTCACAGAGCTCTCCATGAAGCCTAAGAATACAAGCCAGCTCCTGCCCCTTCCCTGTAAAGCTCAGCTCAAACTGCAGGGCCCTAACACACGTGGCAAGCTGGCTCTTGTGACAGCGCCCATTTCGCTCCTCAGCCTGCTCTACACTATACCCCCCCACACCAGCCATTAACCTTTTTTTTTTTTTTTTGTATTTTTTAAGGAAGGATCTACAGGGTGTTCAGGGTCTCACTACTAGATCAAACTCGTAGTGATCTGCCTGTTTATAGCCTTCCAAGAGCTGGGCCTTAACCATTCTATTTCTCAAAGAATCAGGTGTTTTCCTGCCTGGGGCCTTTGCACCTGCTGTGCCCCTTTGCCTGGATGACACTCTTCTAACTTCCTCCGGACCAACCCCCCTCTGCTTCCTGCAGGGATGTGGGGCACTTTGCCTGTTTACACAGATTTCTTGGCTGCACCATCTGGGAAAGTTCATGTGAGGACCTGGCCTGTTCGGGCTGAGTTCACACCAAGGGTGCGGTGCACAGCATGCATGAGCCTCGCGGGTGGCTGGGGGATGAACCATTAAATGAGTGAGCTGAGAGCCGCAGGCTGAGGGAGATTTTGCAAAGAGATGGCTTTTCCAGGCAGGTGCACCAGCCTGTGCCAATGCCCTTAGGAAAGGGGAGCTAAGGGTGGAGAGATGGGGGGAAGCTAGAATAGCTGAGCCACACAGCAAAGCCTAGGGTGCTGGGGTGAACAGGTAGTACTGGGCCTAGGCTGTGATGGCACCGTTACTCTTCCTGCACAGCAGGTCCTGGGAGCTGTGGGCTCCTGATCACCTACCTGAATGTTCACAGGTGGGTTGCCTTTCTGAGCTTATTTCCTCACCAGTGGGAGCAAGCCTGGTTTGCACTGGGGTCAGAAAGGAGAGGCCAGCTTGATACACATCCACCACACTCACTGGAGACCATAAGCTGAGACCTACCCACAAAGCACCAAACCAGACAACTGCAGAGGAGACTATGTCCAACTGGAGCACTCAGGAGGTAGAGGAGCTTTCACAATTATTTGGGTCCCATACTGGTCATCTTGCACTCATTCCTGAAGAGCCCCTGGCCTTGGCATGGCTAGTGTGGGTACTGCCAGCCAGCCAGACCCAGGGCCAGAAACCCAAGGCTCCTGCTATGATGCTGACAGCCTGTCACCTGGCCAAGGACCAACGCTACAGGCTGTGCACATGTGGAGCCACTGGGGCTGGAGTGGCGCTGAACACCCCAGAATACCAGTGACACCCTAGGCCCTTCAGCAGATCCAACTGCCAGGCAGCAGCACTTTGTTTCATGTGTGCCCCTGACAAAAACCACGTAAAGGACACCTAGGGAGGGGCCCCCCCAATCACAGTGACCTGATCTGGGTTACCCTTCCTTCCACTTAAGTCCTAGCAACAACACTGCTTCCCAGAACAGTGTTTGGGCTAAGTTCAACCAACCTGCTGGGTGCCGACCTTGGGGACATCTGTCATCGTGTCCCTGCCAGTCTGAGGGTCCCAAGTGTATCTCAAAAGGCCAGCATGCCAAACACAGCGTCTCCATCTCCAGAACAAGGTCGTAGCCTGGCAGACCCTGGAATTGCTACCTCCACACACTGGTCCTTGATGTATTGGGGAGGAAAAAGCCAACTGTGCCTCTCCTCTGCCCAAGATTACTCATGCACCACAGGCTGGCCACACACCCTGTGCATCTCCAACACTGTCCACCTCCTCCTTCTGGGGCAAATGTAGACTTAAAGCACAGTGAGTTTTATTTTTTTTTTTTAATCAAAGATGTAAAACATGCATTTTCATTTTTGCAGAGGCAAAAGTATTTCACAGCTCACTGAGACAGGTGCTGTAAAAAGATGTTCGCAGTAAATTTTGATGGGGAGCCCTGACCCCAGACTCGGCTTCCAGAAGCTCATGGGCACCAGAGCCGAGCAGTAGGAAGCGGCTCCATCAGGGCCATAAAGTACACCAGGCAAACGAGAATTCAATGATGTATTTTAAGGAGTGTCTTTACAGTACTTTGAAAGCTGGTGTTCAGGGAGGTGAGAGTAGGCCAGGGCACCAAGAAGGATAGGTTTCTGGAAACTGTAGTGGGCAGGGCTAAGAGTGCCAGGCGCCACAGCATGGTGCAGTGTCTGGACTTAGGAACAGGGGCACTGATCCTTGGTCACTGTGCCCTGGGGACAGGGGTGTGACAAAGCCCACGGCACAGCAAGAGAAGGAAAGCACAAGGCACTCGGGTGCTGTGCCCCTTGCTTCCCACCCACACTGGCACATGCCATGTCCCCATGACAGGTGAGAGAACCCCATGCCCCTAGCTCCAGGTAGACCTGGAAACTGTGCCAACTTATAGTCATCAGTCCCCTGGGGGCCTGAAATCAGCCCAGGCCCCTTTCCAGTGTTTTATGAGACCTACCAGGTGCCACCAGGGAGAGGACACATGGCCCAGAACATGCAGGGGCAGCTCCAGCACTGGAGACTTTAAGCTCCCAGTGTCACTGTGCCCATCACAGAGCAGAGGCAAGAGATGGGGATCAGAGGAAACAAGGAAAGGGGGTCTCTGGGACCCTATATAGGTGACACTGAGCTGCCAACCTCACAGGGAGTCAGAAGCACCCTGCTGACCACTCCCAGATTCCTGACCTCTGCAGCCCTGATGACATATGGCAGTGTCTCAAATCACAGATATGGGGCCACTTTCTCACACAGCAACAGTGCAACAGGGGACGATGACACAGGCCAACCTCAGACACCAGCTGCAAAGTGCTGTACTTGAGTGCTGGTATCTGTGGGTTTCTAGGACAAAGAGTCTGCCATTGGTGGTTGTGGGACCCTCAAACCCATGAACTGTCCCCTGGGTGTGACCAGCTTTCGTTCAGCAATGGGCTCAGAATACCTGCTCCAGCCAGCTCGGTCCTTTTAGGACTCAGTTCCTTGCCACCTCCCCTGAGAGGCCTCAGACCTTCCTGACTCTGGTGACTTCACAGGCCTTTCTTTCTATGTTTTTAGTTTTTCCTGTAAGGCTAGGGATAAAACCCAGGGCCTCGCACATGCTAGGTTCTACCACTGAGCTATCTCCCCAGATCTTTTTATGTTGTAACAGGGTCTCACTAAGTTGCCCAGGCTGCCCTCAAACTTAGGATGATTCTACCACAGCCTTCTGTGCAGTTCTCATCACAGGCATGTACCACCACCCTCCACTGTCACAGTTTCTTCATGGCAATGACATATCTGGCTCTATCTCCTCAGTCTAAATACATCTCTGCTGTTCCCTCCCCTGCTCTGTGAGGCCAGTAAGCACTGGCCTGCCTGGCTTACGGCTGTCTGCCAGCACCACAACAGTGCTGGCCAAATAGAAGACACCCAATACAAATGCACTGCATGAATGGTTAGAAACCCCAGCTCCAAAACCAAGTCTATCACAGTGTGGGAGGCCACATCCTATGCCTTCCCCAGGCCTAGTGCTCCCAGGGGCTGGATCCCAGGGCTGGATCTTCCCTGACAGACAACAGGATGCTCCCTGTGGGAACAGTGATTTGTTTACCCAGCCAGGGCTCTCTCCAAGCCCCCACCAGTGAAAGCTGAGGGGTGACAGATTCACTGTGCTCAGAGAGCACTATCAAGTGTTCAATGCAACTCAAAATTGAAACAAGTCATTCTGCTATTGCTACTGGCTACAGTCCCCAAATAGGGACTTTCCCTTTCATTCTGCCCAGCTCTGAGTCACACCAGCTAGCAGCCCACCCAATGGGTAGCCTTTGCTGCCCTTCTGAAAGGAGATCCAGCCAGAAGTCCCAGGAGCCAGGGGCAGGCCCTGAAGGGCAGGAGCAGCTGGGCACAGGACAGGGCTATTTGGGGCTCTGCAGGTGCCCTCTCCTCCTCCCTCCCAGTCGGGGTCTCAGGGCCAGTCCAGGACTCCTAGTGGATCCAGAGAGGGAGAAGAAGTAGTTTGCTTCTTTGGGTAGCCGGGATGGAGATCAGTGGTCTTCAGAGGCAAACACCCCATCCTCATCTGTGTCCCAGTTTCTAATCTCTGCTCCCTAGGAAAGGACAAAGACTGCTCCCAAATGGTCACTAGCCAGCAGGGAGGATCAAAGGGTACTAGATCACGTGCCTGCGAGGCCTACCCTGGGGTTGGGTGGGGACAGGTCAGGTCTGCCCACTCAGGTGCCATGACCCCCCAGGAAGCTGCCAGCCCCTAAGCTGTTCCATGTGGCGCTATCACCTCACATGCCAGCAGCCCACACACAGAGGTCTGGATCCTAAGCTTACAAGCTCTAACAACTGGCTGAGTGACCTTGGGGAAGTGAGTGGGGCTCTGGACCTGAGTTTCACTCCTGGGCAGAGTTTGGTGGGTGCCCTGGGACCATTCCACAGGCAAGCTGGTGGCAGATTAGAACTGGTCTGGGGACGGGGGTGTGTATGTGTGTGTGTGGCTATCCAAAGGGGGCCTGGGTAGGGGGGTCTATCGTGGGCGCTGGGCCTCAGCTCCAACGGGAGAGGTTGCCCGCGGGGGGCTGTCCGGCCGGGAAGCCCTACATGGGCCGCCTCACCCCTCGCGCTCCCACTTACATTTTGCCTCCTTCCAGTCGGTGGAGGTGCTCAGGTCCACCTTCGCGGCCATGGCCAAGGGGGCCCAGGTGCGCACCCCGGCCGGCCGGCCGGCCGCCGCCCCCCAAGCCCCAACTCCCGCCGAGGTCCGCGCGCGGGGTCCGAGCTCGCCCGGGGACGCCGGGGGGCCGCACGCGCTGCCTCGGGTTCCTGAAGCCCCAGCGGGGGGGCCGGGCCACGGGCGCCGGGAGACCAACAGCTGCCCCGCCACGCGCAGCTGTGCCAGGCGGCCGGACACGCGACCCTGCAGCGACATGGGCAGACGTCGCGCGGCGGTTCCCCGCCCACTTGCACTCTATTTACGGTGCTCGGGAGACTCTCTCTCCCTTATTTACTCAGGAACCTGGCGGCGCGCGCCAGCCCAGGACAACCTGCTCGGAGCCGGCGGGCGGCGCAGCCAGAAAACTCGGGCGCGCCGCTGGGCACCCTGGAACTTGTAGTCCGGGCTGCTGGCTGGGCTCACGCACTCGAACAAACACGTGCGAGCCCCGCCCGGGCCTCCGCCCTCCCCCGCGCGGCGGCAACCCCCAGGCCGGCCCAGGCCCCAGGCGCCTTTCCGCTGTGGCGGTGTAGTCAACTTCCAAGTACGGCGGCGTCGGCTTCCCCGGCGCCGCCTGCAGTCTCCCCGGCAGCTAGGCGAGGGGACACGTCCGGGCGCGCGAGGCGACATAGGGCAGTAGGACGAGACTTCCGCGTGGCCGAATATTTTGCAGCCAGAGGAACCCGGGATCGTCTCGCCACCCCCACAGCCCGCCGCGCTCGCTACCTCGCAGAGTCCCAGCGGCAGGCAGGGAGGCGCGCGTGCCAGAGTGGAGTTTGAAACTTGCGAGCCCAAGTGTCGCCCTTGGATGGAAGAATAGGGATGATTTCTTTAACGTATTTTCTAATTCTTTACAAGAGTATGAGAATGGATTTTTACATACAAATAGTTTAATATTTTTCTATTACTGTTAAGATTTTAGAGATATTTTTACTTTACATATACATATTGTTTTCCAGCACTAGGAATTGAATTCAGGCTTCACACCGAGCTACAGCCTTTTTATTATTTATTTGAGGCAGAATCTTGTTAAATTGCCTCAGCTGGACTCCAATGTGCAATCCACCTGCCTCTGCCTCACAAAATTATGAGATTACAGGCAGTTTTAATGTTATTTTTTGTAAGTATCATAATGTTTATAAATTCCAGCCCAGCCTGAGTAATTTAGCAAGATCATCTTCACATGTTTAAAAAAATAAAAGGGCCAAAAGGAAAAGCCAGCGGGCATTTTCCCATGAGTTGCAACCCTTACCCACATTCTTCTGTGCTGGTAATTACCAAGCCCATTAAGTCCATTTACTGTACAAATCATTCCAGATCACGAGGGGTTTCAGCCTTTTGAATAGGAAACCTGTGCAAAGGAGAGCTGCACCAGTGACCACAAACTCAAAGCCCCAATAGCAAGCCTTGAACTTCCTCATTCCCTTTAGCACCTTATAAGTAAACCCTTGCTCTGTAAGAGACCATTGCTTTCATCTTAAATAAAACCTGTCCTGCAATTATTTTCTTTCCTCTTTTATTTCTTACAAGGGCTGAGCATCTAACTTAGACCCCAGTGCCACAGTAATAATAGTAGTCATAATAGTAATAATGCTTACATAATTATATTTCACGGCTGGGGTGTAGCTCAATGGTAGAACACTTGCCTAGCATGCATGAGGCCCTGACTTCTATCCTCAGCCCTTGAAAAAACTGCATTTCAGTGCCTAAGAGTAAAGAGCCAGGGTCCCAGAAAAGCTCCCATACAAACTTCGCTGCCTGGGTGCAGAGGCCCCTGGAGACTCACTCCAGCTTCTTGAGTGAGGAGTCACTAGGAATGAGGCCCACCTGGGCTGTAAGCCTGCCTCTGGGGCAGTGATCCAGGGCAGCTTCAGACAGAAAAGCAAACCCAAGGAGGCTTAGCATGACACCTGGCAGTAAAGTGGACAGTGATCAGTCCTGGAAGAGGACACATGGGACATCAGAAGCCAGGTACCAAGAAGGAAGGGCCCGACACTCCTCCATCCTTCCAGGAGCACCAGAGGCCCTGCACCCATGTGTGCCATCTACTCTGGGAACTCAGCATCAGGATCTTGCTGGCAATAGGGTGCTGGGCACCAGACAACAGCTCCTCGTGTCCTCAGCTCCAAATTGCCTCTAGCTGTATAATTGGTGGGATAGAGGAGCAGCCAGGATTGACCTGAGGCTAATACCACACTGAGGAAAGGACTTCCCCACCCCTACTTGGGCCCAGGCCTGGTTCCCATCTGTGATTTTTTTTTTTTTTTTTTTGAGACAGGGTCTTGCTGTGTAGTTCAGCCTGGCCTTGAATTCATTATGTAACCCAGGATATTCTTGAACTCACGATCCTTCTGCCTCAGCCTCCCAGATTATAGGCTAGAATTACAGGCACCACTACCACCTCGACTCCCATCTGTGTTTTTAAATCCTCAGGCAGAAGTCACTGGTTCCCGAAATGAGACATGTGGCTGAACCTCTGAGCTAGCTTCCTAATGCTGCTATGACATAACCACAAATCCAGCAGTTTAAACAATATGAACTGATCGTCCTTCAGGTCTGTAGGACAGAAACCTGACGGGAATTCCTCAAATAAAGGTGTCATCAGGGCTGTACTCATTCCTGGAAGGTCTAAGAGAGAGAAGCTCTTTACACCTCCTCCAGACGCCACCCATGTTGTTCCTTGGACCACAGCCCCTTTCTCCTTCCCTGGCTTCAAGGCCAGCAGTGTGACATCTTTCTTTCATCTTCCCAATGGTGCAGCTTTCCTTTTTTTTTTTTCTGAGACAGGCTCTCCACATATATAGTCCAGGCTGGCCTTGAACTCACTGTGTAATCTAGGCTGGACCCATACTTGAAGTACTCCTCCTTCAGCCTCCCAAATGCTGGGATTACAGGCTGTTCCACCTCATCCAGTCTTTCTTCTTTTAATTTGGTGCTGGAGCTGAACCCAGGTCCCCTTGAGTGCCCTATCATACTGGTAGCTCACCTATGCCCAGCTCTTGAGATGGCGTCCTGCTGAATTGCCCAATCTAGCCTTAAATTTGCAATTATCCTTCTGTAGCCCCCAGAGTAGTTGGGATTATAGACATTAACCACTATGCCTGGCCAGCCTTTCATTCTGTCTTGCCTGTTTCCCTCTTTTATTTGCAAGGACTCTTGATCTTACACAGCATCCACTGGAGTAATTCAGGATAATCTCTCTACTTAAAGTCAGCCACTGCCTGGTACAGTAGTACTCAGGAGGCTGAGGCAGGAGGATCACCAAGAGTTCAAGGCCAGTCTGGGCTACACAGTGATTTTAAGCCCAGTCTGAACTACATAGTGAGACCCTGTCTCAAAAAAAGAGAAAAAGTCCAGCTGATTTGCAAATTGAAGTCCCCTTTAATTTGCAGGTAAAACACCATAACCAAGGTTTAGGAGGTGGAGATTTGGAGCACCCTCATTCTTCTCTCCACACCCTTCCTGGCAGGTGCAGGAGAAGATACAGAGAGTGGACTCAGTCGTAGCCAAAAAAAGTCTTGCTGCCCAGGGCCTGGAGGCTGAGCTTCCAGAGCACCCTGGAAATACTGACATCTCCTCCCTCAGTGTGCATGTGGTAGCAGCTGCTCTTTCTTTCTGTTGGAACTCCACTCTGTTCTCATACAGTGACCTGGATGGACAGTGCTCCATCCCACAATACCCTGTGGCATATCGTGTCTGGGGCCTGGGCCAGG